GTGCAAGATGTAAATTCAAATATAGCGTTTGTACGGCAGTTCAAATTTTTAAAAAATTTTAATACTTCTGTTATTATCTACCATTACTAAAAAATTTCTTGCATTTTTCCGATAATGCGAGCATGTAATACTAAATACCTGCCGCTAAAAAATAGCGTTAAGAATTAAGAACCTTTTCACAATTGCAAATGGCTTTTACTTCTATTTGATATTTTTCCAAAATCACATTAATGCGATCAAAAGTCTCTCATAGAATCATCAATTATTGCTAAATCACTAAATCATTGTGTCCTAAATTAATTTTCATATAAATTTAAAGGGCAAATATTTTGATTGAAAATAGTGAAATTCAAATAACCGATTCTTGACAATAATGGGAAGAAATTCTCTTCATCAAATTTTTTAGTTTTTACTCAGAAAGAAAATATCACTTTTAACAGGCTGATATTAGAACCAATTTGTTCACAATTGTGGTTTTAGATTATAGATTAGCTTATACATAGGTACATAGAATATAGATTAGCTTATACATAGGTACATAGAATACAATAAAGCATCGCTTGATTAGCTGATATGTACCTTTTGTGCTCACTGTCGAAATTTTGCACGAACATAAGTTGAAAACTTCACGTCGCAGCGTATCATGAGTGCCTATTGTGCGACTCGTATGTTACACGGCATTGTGCAACTATACAACATTCACTCCACTAAAAGAAATATATGTATATTCCCGCGGGCATTATTGTAAAGTCACTGGGAAAAGCAGAGTCCAGCGCGCTCCAATTTAATATCTTCCCGCGCGTTATTCGTCCGTAAATTAAACTCGCTTATCGCGATGGACTCCGTATTGTACATGAGGTAACGCACAGCCGAGAGATTATTCAAACTCGGCACGACGATGATCGGAGTTGACAGAATCTCTCCGTGAGAGTGAATTTCGCCCGCCGGAACAATGCGGCCCGGTGTTGTCTGCCGATGTTCCTGCCTCGCCCTTAACGTCGTCGTAGCAGCCCCGAGCAGCCGCCCTCCCGTCGGGCGCACACGTGTCGCAGTCGCGTGTGTGCGCGATGCGTGCCGCTGCACCTGTCCGAGGCTGAGTGCCGCCGCCTCGTAACTCGGTAATGCAGTTTTCATCGAGGAAGTTACTGCGCGCGCGACGCGACGTCTACACGGAGAAGCGGGGTACGCCGGCGGAAGCCGGAGTTTCGCTGGAAGATGTCAAGTCCGTACGACGAACCTGTAGCTTCTCAAACCCTTCCCCTCGCGGATATTCCGACGGAGTGAGGAGCAAAGCGAGCGAAGCTTACATCTCGGACACAGGTGTCCGCGCTTCGACGTCTCTCTATCTCTCTATCTCTTTCACCCCCAAGAACGAATAAATCTATACCCTTTTCTTCTTTTCTCTCTTTCGCCCTCGTCCACATTCATCCCCCGGTGGCGCCTATCTTACGTCTCACGGCGAAGGAGAGAGAGAGAGATGTTCGTCTCATCAATAAATCGTCGAGAAATTACTTTACCGCGACGGCCATTCCCGTTTACTGCGTTCTTCGGAGAGTTACATTTCTTTCTCCCCTCAGATAAAGACGGGTCCAATTATCCTCACCTCTGAACCACCAATAGCATTCACCGGTCGGTGCCATGCGCTTAATAAATTATCGTTCTTTGAGAGAAACAAAAATTTCTCATGGAGTTCCTTGTGTCAGTGGCACAATGACCGAAAAAATGATCATGTAGCTATTATAGTTTATTTATTTTTAAAAATGAGATACTTTGATATCATGATTCACCGTGATAAAGTGTACGAAATTTTTCAAAGCTATCTGATGTTCTTTCAGAAACGGAGTCATTAGACTTTTAGAATTTAAAATCGAGTATAGTAAAATTTTATTTAAACTCAATATTATATTATATTGAATAATATTGAGAGAGATCTTTTAAAACATTTCAATTTTCTCCATTATATGTATATTTGTCATTAAATCTGAAATTAAATTTTTACTAAAATAAATTTTTATAATACTAAAATACAATTTTTACTTAAATACCGCTTGAAATTAACTGTAAAATATAATTTTGTTATTCATTTGGCTTTTTGAAGCTTTTTTCGCAAAAGATCTTTTTTTTCCAAATATTTATGTCTCGAAATTGAACCATTGACGCTTCAATATTTTCGATTAAAAAAACCCAAATCGGCAGAAGAATTCGTCATTAAAAGCATATTGTGACATTTATAGGACTCTTCTCTAAACAATTTTTATGTAGTGTTCGGACATTTCGATAGTATCAAATACTTCTACAACTTTAAACAAATTTTCGATATTTGGAAAAACACGAGAGAATCACAATTAATATCACCAATTCAATATCGCGATGATTAGCTGTGAAAACGTATGGTAAAACTGCAAAAATTGTATATTCTTCTAATATACTTTAATGCTGCAAAATAATGGATAACCACAGGATAATCTACTATTACAAAGGAGTCTAATTACAATTTGCACTTCGATTAGGTCACATGTGCGATTTAATTAACGAATAAATTAATAGAAAAGCGAACGTAGGTAATTTGCCAAAATTAACCGAAAAGTATGAACACACAGTTGAACGAATTATAACGTGATTACGTACGCGCGCGGTACGATAAAATATAATTATCCACGGGCTACTTCTAATTTCACCTGTATGATCGTAATATTCCGCATTAATTACTGCCAATTTCCCTGCCTAATTCCAAAAACGTATCTATGCACGTAGGGCGATGTCTCGCTACAACAGCTAGGTTCCAGGCAATTAAACGTTATTCGTTTAATTATAAAAGACCGCTGTCACTCTGGTGCGCGGCACGTCGAAAAGTTTCGCGCTATATTTATTCCAGCGGAAACCTAATCCACGCATTCATATTACCCGTTTCATCTCTCGTTGTAGTATATCGTCAGGATTCCGAGTGGAGCGTATTTTAAGTATCTGAATAATCCGCCTCCTCGATGTCTGCCATCCTTCCTCTCTCAACCCCTTATCTCCGCCCTTCCATCTTTGCGGTCGTACGTCTTACCTCGTAAAACCGAGGCGGCTTATAAGCGTAAGCGGCGGGTAATCCGAGGCGGCCACCCATAATTTAATGACGTTTAATATGCAGCCGCCATGCGACAGACTATTATTCTGATCTTTGCGCCGCCGCGCCTGTCGGTGCAGTTGTCTTAAGACACACCGGAATCAGAGGCATTACTACGGCAGCAAGACAGATCCATCTGTGTGCGCCCGCGCGCTCGCTGCAGTTATATTACGCCGAAAATTTTAAATTCGCTGCGCGAAAGTTTCTCGGCGCGACGATGAAACATTTGTTCGGATAACGGCGGACTAATGAAATACCCCGACGAGTTACAAAAATTCCATTACAATTTTTATTGCGTTAGATTTTTACTCAATATGCAATGCGAAATAAAATTTATCGTGCAAATTAGCAGAACTCCAAATTCGAATCAAAATTCATGCGAAACTAGACTCAATTATTTGACGTGCCGCATACGTTATCTTCTCGCATAACGAATTCCAATATTTTGTTAACTAGAATAACAATTCGACGTTAACGAGTAACGTATCTGTGGATTGACGCAGTAAAAACCTGTCAGAAACTGTGAAAATTGCATATTCGGTCAATCTCCCGTCTCTTCTTTCTCTCTTTTTCTCTTTTCTTTCTCTCCCTTTTCTGTCTCTTCGAAGCGGAGAGAGCGCAATGCCAATTCGAATCTTTTCCAAACAGATAAAGTATTTCGCGTCTTTCACGCGCGATAAAATTCTGTATTCGAGGCTGCATCATGTGAAAACGCTTCGTAGGGGACGTAGAGTGCACGTCGAGCGAACGTCTTCGCCATCAACGGCGCCATCGACGGATGTCGTAGATCCCCCGCTCTCAACTTTCGAGACGACATGAGACGAGACTCGATACTCGAGACGTCAATCCGGTAAAAACCAGCATCAGTTGTTGAGATCCGCTTCGCGACGCAACTTTTTATCCCCTGGTCGTCTCCGAGGCGCGGCTTTAAGATTGCGGCGTCGTCGGTTTATAATGCGTCTGGACCGCTAATCCAGTCTGGTCGTTTCAAATAGGGAGATATCAATTCGTCTGGCGATTCGTCTTGTTAAGACGATTATATACTAGACAAACTGCGATCGATCTGGGAAGGCGTGAAAAATGTGTCTATAGTGCTAGAGACATAAATTTGCGGCGCAATAACAATTTACAATGGCATACCGCTGGAGCTGTAATAATTTGCAAAAATGTCGGATAAGAAATATCCTGTCACACATCGTATAAGATAGCGGCTGCAAACATTGGCCTCTGTCGCAAACTGTCGAGGCAAAACTGATAACAACGGCGCGGTCTTATCGACGCGCATAATCATCGTAATCATCGTGAAAGCAATATCATCGTAAAGAAAGCAGGAAGAATGTACATCGGACGCAGGTCGTCACGCTTCGTTATTCGTTGACGAAGCGTAACGTACAGAAATAAAACTTCGCTATACTTTACTTTACTTTGCGATATCGCGTTATCTTACCGCAGAGACACAGCGTGGAGACGGCAGTCCCTCCGATCGCCCGAGAGAGCTTCACCTTACAGTTCATTCGACACCTGATGAATAAAATATTAGTTTCTCATGCATTATGATAAAAATGTTTAGGCGGCGAGCTTGTTAGTCGCGAGTTTCTCGAGTATCTCAGTCCAAACACCGTGGTTGTGATATATATAGTAATGGTTTCGGATCAATGGAATGGTTCTCAAAGCAGCATACGGATAGGTGTAAAATTCGTCTCTCTGATATTGGTGCAAGTCGTTCTCGAGAAAAAACATTAAAGACTAAATATCCAATCGGCTATCTAATGTTCATCATTACAGCTAAATATTGAGTAATCAATAAATCAGAACGATCAAACATGACGGGATTGCGGGTCATCCCTACGCAACGTACACGAACACGTACATACACAAAAGGGGGGTGGGGGAGGGGGAAGACGCGCGCATTGACAAGGCACGCACAGATAATAAGGACATATCTTAATTCATCACATATCTAAACATCGATCAACTAAAGCTAGAGATACGGACCTTCGACAAACGTAAAAAATTATATGTAAAAAAAAGAAAAAACAGAGAGAGAGAAAGAGAGAACAAGTCAATCGGTGTCAATCGAGAGTCGGAGTGGTGGTGAAGTCACACACTGCTTGATATATACGAAAATCAATCGGTATATAATCGGATATACACATATCCATATATATGCGTATACATACATCTTGATACGTGTGAGTCTAAGATACACATATGCAAGGATCGAGTCTGCACGCACGTATGTATAGATATATATGCTACGGTTAGTAACGTTCAAAGGTGGTGATTGGTGTTAGCAATGGTCGAGCGACGATCGAGGCATCAAGAGAGAATAAAGGGAAAAGGTAGATAGTGAAAGACAGAGAGATATAGATATAGAGATATATATAATATATATATAAAGAGAGACAGTAGTAGTAGTAGTAGTAGTAGTAGTAAGAATACAGGGGAAGAAACAGACGAGTAATTATGTATGTAAAAGCGAAGTCTATTACGCGTGAAAGAAGAAAGAAAAAGGAGAGGACTAGGGCTTTTAGAGAAAAAAATCTACTGACTAATCCTAATTGCAAACCAAACAAACGAACCAACCTCCTCGGTAAGGCCTAGCCGAAAATGTTCGCGGGACCCCTGTAACAAAAACATATATAAATCATAAGAAATCAATAGAAGAAACAAAAAGAAACAACTACTTGACTGTAATGAGTGGAGCAGACGGTTATGTTACAGTATCACATGAGAAAGAGAGAGAGAGAGAGAGAGAGCGAAAGATGAGGAGAATCGGCTAGCGCGCGGGGTGTCAAACGCGCGTCGATGCTTGACGATGGTTACACGACTAAATCGCATTAACTTCGCGCGATCAGTCACCCCTTCTGCGTCACGTCGAGCATCAGGTTGCCATAATAGATCGACGCGTCGAATTGCTCTCGTATCTCTTCATCTCCTTATCGAAAAATTTTATAGTACCTTTCATCCAGACAGAAAGCGGGAGATAGAAAAAAAAACTCGCGCGCACGAGGTCGACGAATCTTTAACGTTCGCGCGAGTACAATTGCGTTACGGGTTCTAAACGCTTCCGTCCGAAACGGTATCAAACGAACGATAACGCCGCGATTATTTGTCCGTAATTGCGAACGTTTGTGCGGCGCGTTCGCGCCGAAGCCGAAATCCGAAAACAAAACTGCTCCCGTTTGACACCCCTGCAGACGCACAACAGTCTGCTGTATACTTCTTTTTTTTTCACGGCCACTGTCGGTGGTGGATCGGGACGCGATCGGAGCGTGGGAGGGAGCGGTGGAGGAGGGAGAAGGGGATGGCATTGTGGTGGCGTTGAGCGCGAAATAAAGTTTGCACCGCAAACCCGCTTTTCGCCCGCGATTAGCCGCTATCGAAAGCACGGTCGGCTGACGAATAGCCAGCTACCGCTTTCGCACAACCGCTCCGGTTTAAACCGAGCTCGAATCGAACGCGCGCGATCGTGCGATCTTATTCAACGCGACGAAATTGGCACGAAATGAATGCGAATTGTTGCATCGCGGAAGGGAACGAAGAGAGAGAGAGAGAGAGACAGAGAGGGAGACGACGTTACGCACACGCACACACACATACATGGGGCGCGCGCGTTTGTACACGCGTCCTACCGCGCGATAAATAAATATTGTACACTACATAAGTATTTCAATCCCGTAAATTCAGTTCGACGAAACGCGCGGCGCACGCGGACGTTACGCGACGCGAGTGCGCAAATGAATTTCTGGCAAATTGATATGAAAATGCGGATAACACGTCGTGTTTATCCTCCTCGCGTCCAGATGAAAGCGAAATGAAAGGTGCATAATTATTTTAGCGTTAAATCCGAGAGTTGCCAGGAGGAGGGGGGGGGGAAGCCGGAGCACGCGTATTGTATCGCGGAGCGCAAATTGAGAATACGACGAGATACTCACGACGCGTGTTTGTTTCTATCTACATATTTTTGCGGATGTTAAACCGATCCCTCCCTCCCCCCCCCCTCCCCACTGTTTCGCCGTCGAACGATATCGCAGGTATACGCTTGTCGTTCCAATTACTCTCTGATGCGTTAAAAAAAAAATGCAGTAAACATGTGATATACTACACACACTCTCTCTCTCTCTCTCTCTCTCTCCGTACGCGCCGCGCCGGCCGGTTTTACATACGGTAGCCGTACACGCGCGCGTGTACGCGCGCACGAATGCGAAATATTGCATAATAAATCCCGTCCTTTATTTCCGAACGTTACGTACATCCGGAGAATTTTATTTTTCCTACCGGGGCGCGTAAAGCGATCATCATCCGCGCTCTCTATCAAAGATGAATGCGTCGACGCGTTACGTCGCGTGTGAAAATAGCGGAAGTGATAGAGATATATGGTATATCTCCCGCGCGAGTGCTATATCTCTTACCCGCAGCACATCGCACATTCGCAACGCGTCGCTGTACGTACGGAAATAAGTTCTCGTTGTATGATTTTTTTTTCTGTTATCCTGCGATCCGACGCGCAATCTACGACGTAACCGCACCGGTAATACAGCGAGTTTCTAATTTACAGGCGGCCGCCGCGATAAGAGACTCTGATAACGACGCGGGAGGAGGATAAGGGGAGAGAGAGAGAGAGTGAGTGAGAGAGGGTGCCTTTTACCCTTTCTGTATTATTCGCATTCATTACATTGCAGAACGCGTTCGCCGGAAGATTAAGTTTCTCCATCCGTTCGCTGCTGCTGCCACGCTTTGTTCCACTCGGCATTACGGTAGTTCATACAGAGAAGCGTATTACTATCGCTACGATGGCGCTACGTGGGGTAACTTATACGTGGGAGAAAGTCGATGGATAATGGCCCCATTGTAAGTGGTACACCGAGATAACGGGGCGAAGCGGATGGGAGCCTTTTTGTCGAAAAATTGCACCTCGCGCGCGGACGTTACCGAGGATGAACGGTTCTCGATAAGCTCGCGATTATTCTGAAATTGTTTCTTAATAGCGACATGAAAGTTTCACGAAATAGAAATAGAATGTCGGTGAGCGTTTTTGTAATGTTTATTAACATTTGTAATTAGCTTATCGAAAACGCGCCTCCCGAAGGGAGAGAAGCGAACCCCCCGTCTCGAGCCTACTCCTGCAAGGCGGATAGGGAAAATGGCGAATCGTCGAAAATTGTTGTCTAAACTAGACGCGACGCTGTCGAAAAAATGACTCCGGCTACGCCGCCGGTTACGCGACGTGATAAATAGGAAAAAAATTGCTAAGTGCGATCTCTCACGGAGGGAGGGAAGGTATACGGTGTATCTCGCGGGGAATAAATCAGACTCAAGATTTCAGACGCCGGCGATAAATACGTGCGCACAGCTGGTTACAACCCTGTGCGGCGATCGATACTTGTTACACTCCCGGTAAGTACGACTTCACCGTGAATGTTATGAGAACAGCTGTGCGTGGGCGACATCTTAAACTCGAGGTCTTACCTGCTGTTTAAAGACACGGCACACCGAGCCTCCCCAATGTTCCCCCGTTACACGGCCGAGTCCCTAGTCGATGTGTATCTCTTGAAGCGAAATTAAAGTGGGACACCCATGGTATATCGACGTGTGGCATATCGACGAGAATAAAAGAGGCAGGGGGGGGGGGAAGAGAGAAGTCCAGACGATGGAAGAGCAAACAAGTCAGTCGCGTTTCTAAGCGGCGCGACGAAATACGCCGATCGAAGTGTTAATTGAGGAATCCGGCCGGGACAGCTGGCAGCGGACCTCGTGGATGTCCAGAGTGGAAAGATCCGGTTAGAGGACGTCCTCGCCGCGGCGACATAATCTCGGGGAATCCGACGGGAGTAAAGTGTGGTGACGATGGGGTAGATGGGCGGAAGTTGGTGTTAACGGAGGTGTGCAGCGCAGAGAGAAGGGTTTGCGCGGAGGGTTCTAAATGTGCGGCGTTCCCGTGTCCGAGCTCGTGTGTTATACATATGTATAGTTGCGAAGTGTACGTGAAGAGACACAGGCGTGACCGGCCCGAAAGTCTCATAACACTTGGAAACAGGCGGCGTACTCTCGTACTCTCGTACTCTCGTCTTATTGCCCCGGACTAGTTTGCGTCGGAGGCAGGGAAAGAGAGAGAGAAACAGGGAGATAGAGAGAGACACAGAGAGAAAGAGAGGAGGAAAAGTGGGAAGAAATAAACCAAATGAGAAAGAAAGGGAGAGAAAGAGAGAATGGGGAGAGGGGGGCGGGGCGGGACAGTAGTCAATATTCGCAAAGTAGGGAAAAGGGCGAGAATGCGAGAGACGAAAGAGAGGCGCGCGACGAGCTGCCGGCATAACGGACGAACGAGGAAAAAGCCAATTTGACGTTAACCGAGTGTAACTACTCGGCAAAAGGGGAAGATGGGATGCGTACAAGAGACATTTTGACTTTGATCACTCCGGGATGCCTCCCTCTCTTTCTTTGTCGCTCCTAAGCTGTAGAGACCCGAATTGTAAATCCCCGCTGTAGGAAAAGATGTTACTATTGGAAGTTTAATTAGTAAAACATACCTAACAATCGAAAAATGTGATTTACCTGTGTAGTTTTTGTGACTGTAATACAGGATGTAATTTAAAAGGGAGGTAAAAACGTAAGGAGGTAAAAAATCTTGAAATGTTTACAACAATACGTTCCATACCATGCCAAAAGCTGTCTCATGTTTGCGACAAAAAACGTAACGGGGGATCTCATCACGAGAGTTTTCATGTTTCGAGTGTGTCTATTACGTAAAGAGAAACGTCAGGCAAGTATTTGTATGACAAGTAATCGTTTGCATCGCCGGTGTAAAGAAAAAGAAAAATTAAGGAGACAAAAGAATGTATGCAATGATTACCACGAGACTTCGTTTATCTATACGATCATCGCTCGCTACTTGGCAGCCTTTTGATAAGGTTTTTTTTCCGCCAAGGAATCAAAGGCTAAAATTAGAAATTAGATCGGTAAACCGAGACACATGTAAACGCAGAGTGTCGTTGCATTGTCGTGACGTACACATGCCGGCGCTAATACGTCCTTCATCACTTAGATTCAGTAGAACAACACCGATGTACGATCAGCCGTCGAATGCGGCGTCTAGTGAAGCGCCTCTTCGCACGAATCAGTTTCAGTATGCGACACCGTGAGTTTGTGACGTACTCACGCTATCTGAAAGTTCTCATTTATATCCCGTGTTATATACTATCAAACGGGAATTTTTTCACAGACGCACCGACGCCGCCCGGTACTGCCACTGAAAACTGACTCGTGCGAAAATGTCTACGACTGCGCATAACTACGCCCTATTCGACAAAGCGACCTCGCAGTTTGTCACTTTATTGCGCTCGCATTTCGCCTTCATTTTCACGTTTTGTTTACAACAAAATGGAATCACAAAGGCCAAATGTAAAATGCAACGCGACAGACTGTAAAATCGTTCGTGAAAATGCCGTGTGTGTGTGTGTCGATCTAGATACCAAAGAAAGGAACAAAAATTGAGTGAATAACAATGACTGCCGTCATTTACTGCAAAAACTGAACCAAAGAGATATGTGATTGAAAAATGCAAAAAGTATGAAAAATATCAATCCTGATATTTCTACGCGTGATACACGTCGCCGAAATAA